AAACCGCACCTCGTCTGGTCGAAGTGATCTCCCTTGTCGTCATGATCTTCTCGGCCTGGGGAGCCATCTTCGCTGGCTTCTACATCTGCATCAGTGCGCTTAGAAGACGAAGGCTCCCCAAAGAGGCCTTTGTGTACTCCCACGACACTGCCCCGGAAGCTGGGAAACGGGAGGGGGAGGACAAGGACGGTGGAGCAGCGGGTCAGGTGTCAGATGGCCCTCAAAGTCTATCTACGATCACAGAACCCAGTTACCTGAGTCTATTTCCGCCCTCCTCCTCCACCATCAGCACGGACTCTTATCCCATTCTTATGAGACAGGCTCCGACCTCGCCTACTGCTGGTGCTGGCGGTGGTGATGATGATGATGGTGGCTACGGAAGATTGCTCTTGACGCAATTGAACCACCTTTTCAGCACGGGGCCGTACTCGTTGCTGGAGACTGGTTGCCAGTCACCTGTGTCGGACCAACCAGAAGGCGATGCCACTGCCGTCGCTGCTGCTACTGCGACTGAAGACGAGCTTGGTCGCGACACAGACGGGAATGAAGAAGACGTCACCGGGAGAAGTCGTGCTGACGGGCCAGATACTCCGGCTTTCGAGGCTGCGTATGGCACACTAGTGGCCATAGGTAACCATCTTCTAGTTTTTTTGGCAGGACTGTCTTTGTAGGTCCTTTTTGCCTTTGACTTGTGACAATAACCTACTTTTGCATTTAGCGGTAGTCCGTATTTCCTTTTTTTCGTTAAATTCCGCCAACCTAAAATCGAATTTCCCTTTTTCGTTTAATTCCGCCAGTATAAGTTTGAATTTTCCCCAATTGATATCGGTACCCTTGGCAACAGGAGTTTATGTTGAAGGATTTGATTCAGTTTAGTAAATTGAAACAAAAATAGGCTTCTGTAATTTAGTATTTTTTGATAGGTTCCCCCACAATCAAATATTAATTTACACTCACCAACCAAGAATTAAATTCTAGACCAAAAAATACGTTAGATAGTCGGGCGGGGGTGGGGCGGATAGATATGTAAGGGGCCCTAAAAGACAGTTTCGCCGTTTCTTCTCGAGCCATAGGACCCATACCATCTGGTGGTCAAATTTCTGTCGCCTTATGCTTTTACGAGCAAAATAAGTAGATTTACAGATACGATGCTTTATAAAAATTAACATTTCGCGGTCTTGAGAGCTCTCATCGAAAATAAAACATTTTTTAAACCATAACTACTTTATCAGGCATAACTTATCAACGTATTCTTCTGCGAAATAAACACATGAAATAATTTTTGGGTTAAGTTTAAAAAAAATACATTTCAATTTATAAGGGTGCCGAAAATTGATATGAAAATGCATACTACCTAAACAGTCCTTTTTATAGAGCGTGGCTTCTACAGGCGGCCGAAAAGATGTCCGTTCAGAAGCCCCGGCATCCTTAAGCAACTGAAACATCTTTGGATTGTGCTCGGTTATAATTAATAATGCAGGCCTACGGAACAACTATTTTGCTAATAGAAAACATATTTTAAAGTTGCAAAAATGTCCATCAGACAATTCAGAATAGTAGTTTGCGAGCATATGCAGGCTTTCGATAAATTCTCATCAGGCCATGACATTTATATGGCAACGGGTTACAAGTTCAACAACCGGTCAATATTGTTCGTCTTTTCTTACAAGCGAGTCGTGGGAATCGGGCGGAAGGAGTCGATGAGACCTAAAGGCTGACGGTAGGGGGGGGGGTAGAGTTGTAAAACTTAGTAAACAGACAATTGAAGTTTGATCCTTTCTCTTAATAGTCTTGCTGTAGTAGCTGTGCTGTAAATCAAACCCCTGACTCTTAAGTGTCCTATATGGACTTGGTTGTTTTTAGAGGACAGGCGTTTGGTCTCAACGTCCCCCCTCCTCTGTGGGTCGAGCCATGGCGCGCGCTGATCATCCAAGAACCGATTAGGCTCTAGCTCACTGGAGTGTGGTTGTGGGGGGGGGAGGGACTGAGTATCCAGTATGCATAGGCAGATATCTTCCTCTATTTCC